TTCTCCCAGTACGGCCCTCACACTTGGTTAATAAGATATATGTATTACTAACTTTGTGATTAATTTGTAGGTGAACGTGTTCAAAATCTAGTCATAAATTCTCACAAGTTTAAATTGTAAAAAGTGTTTCAATTAAGCAGTGCATTTAACACTTTTATCCCAAAGAGTGACTAGCATCTAACTTCTCCTTACAATATCACCCCTGAATCACACATCAAGGTCAGGAGAATCAAGGAAATGATCAACAACCAAAAAGCTATTGATTGTTAAACAAATTCTCCTTGTCAGCACCCTAGGATAGGTATAGGGATCAGTATGGAGAATATGCATACTGATGTTAGCGCGGTAAAGGGCTAACCAAATTCAGGTAATTACATGTACAAGACACAACATAGGCTGATCAGAAGAAAAGGTAATGTTACTAGGATCAAAAGAACTCAGAGTTAAACCAGGTACTACCTGAAGCATGGAATAAAGCGAGCAACAAAGGCATGTTTAGTTTTAGCTTGTATCTGACTGGTCCAGTGGGTTTATGAGTTTTCTGGGAAAATTCCAAAGTTCAAAAATTAAAGCAAGTAATCATAGAACTTTAATTTGACAGTCAATTGAAATTTCTCCTTGCAATAGTGATGTTACATTAAAGAACATTGGTGCCTTGTTTTCATTTTACAGATGCTTGTGACCTGTACACGTGGGGTAATGGCTCAACAGGAATGTTAGGACATGGAGAAAATGCTGAAGAGAATGTACCCAAAGTTGTAGAGGCTTTGCAATCAAAGGATGTGAAAAGAGTAGTCTGTGGAACCACTCACACTGTCGTGTTAACAAGTAAGTGAGACTACATGAACAATGCAATACCTACCTACCCCCCCCTACAAACACGCACACCAGCCATACTCCCACTCATTTATGCTAAGGAAGTTTTCAAAGTGTTTTTCCCACCTCAAAACATCTCCTTAGAAGAAAATTGTTCTTCAGAGGTAATAGCTGCCATCTGACATTATTGCAGCAATTGATGGCAATTGAATCCTCCGCCATTGCTAAACACTATAAGAACATGCACGGGACAATGCCCTAGGACCTGCTAAAGCGTTTCGAAGTGCTTAAGAAATGCAGAAACAAATTTGACTGCTTAGTGTACGAAATACTTTTTATAAGAGCGTTAAAGCCAAATCTTAACGTGCAATCAGACTCCATTCGTGCGAAAGTATTTCTATAATATTTTTATGATCTTCGCACCCTCTTATGTTAATTCTTGGCGCCAAAAACGCTTTATATGTTGCAATTTGCATGATCGTTCATATTTTCCTTGATAATGGAGTCATGACTACTCCGAAACGTCGGATTTTATCGTTCGTTTTTACAGTCTTATGTCAATTGAAGGCTGGGGAGAGAAAGAAATTCTTACCAAGGGAATGAGCGACGGTCAACGAGAGTGAGAGGAGAGGGGGTGGGGCGTTAGAAATAACCACTTCCCACCGTCCACTCTAACTCTGGATTAAACATGGCCGGCCGATCTGGACAAACGATCGCGAGCTTGTAACGTTAGCATGCCCTGATAAGACGCATGCAGGCTACCTCCTTCTTGGAGCTGTAGTCTTTCATTTCGGAGCGCGCATCCATTGGTTAGCGATTTTTACCGCCTAAAAGCCGCTTGCTGTGAAGGCCGTCCTTAACTCAGTGCAGCATGTGGAATCACACCCTTTCTCCAAATTTCCGCCGTCACTGTGAAAGTACCATCTGCTGGCCCTCGTTCGAACATTTTTAATGGAAGGCAGAAAGAGCAATACTCAAGTTTTTTATACTTAGTGGAGCTGAAAAATACTTTTGTTTCGCTTTTGGTTTTTCAGACGAAGGAGAAGTGTTTTCTTGGGGTTCAGGTTATGGTGGCAAGCTTGGACAAGGACATCTTAGAGACAGATCGACCCCGCTCAGAGTTGCCACATTGAAAGAGATGAAAATGACAACAATAGCGTGTCACGAATTCCACACAGCAGCAGTTTGTGGTAAGATAATAGTGCGTTATTAAATTGGGGCGACGCAAGGGGACTCAAAAAACGCAAGCTCAGGCACAAACGTTCACACTACCAAACCACAAAACAAAAAGATAAACAAACGACTCTAGCCTGGAGCAATTTCCAACTCATTGTTGAAAGTTGTTTTGGATCAGTGTAACTTGTATTTGTGCCTTTGCTTAAGCAGCATAAAACCAAATAAACAAACCTTTTCCAACTGAGAGCCGAAAGGTGTCTGGAATAGTTTTGATTTGTTGTTGTGTCTTTATATCACGCCAAAAATGAAAGCAAAACAAAACAAAAAGGCTTCAGCTTGACGCAATTTCCAACTGAGTGTTGAAAGAGTGAAAGTTATCCGGGAACACGGTTGTTTGCTCTACTTCTCTTTGCGATTGGTCAAGAAAATTCGCTCTATCCTTTCAACCAATCAGATCATTCGCCTTTTCCCGCGCTTTTAGACTTCTAGCTTCTAGTTGACTGTTTTCCTCTCGATTTGGAGCGATTGCATATGGGCGAGAAGAGACTGGAATGAGTCTGAGTTCTCTTTGCGTTGCGCTCCTTTGTTCTGATCGACAGTTGTGATTGTTGTCGTTTTGTTCATTAGTTTTACGATATTCTGTCGATTGGCTGAAAAGACTTTCCATTGGTGTCCACAGCTACAGGAGAATTATACACATGGGGCCAAGGAGGTCCGAGGCTTGGATATGAAAGTGCTGCAAGAAAAGAAATACTGCCAAGATTAGTTGAAGGACTCGAAGAACACAGAGTTTCACATGTGGCTTGTGGGCTGGCCCATACTCTAGGTAAACTGGTGGGGAAAATAGCTCTCTATTTATCACGTTTTCAATCTCGAACTCCAACGGAATCTGAACAAATATCATCGATTTCTTCAAGGGTTTGCGTCATTTTATAGGTTTGAGTGGCATTGCTTTGCAGTATGCCTATTTTCCGTCAAACTTTGTTACAGACAACTGATTTTCCATACGTCCCCCCCTGAAAACTGTACAATCCCCCCAAAATCCTCTCCCCTCCCTAGTAGACGAGAAATAATGACTGTTCCCTGGATGCCTCAAGTTGAACAAACCGCAACGAGAGTTATTGAACAGGAGTACGTTTTAAACCCACAGTTTGTACAAAGAACGGACAGTGCTTTGCCTTCGGCGACAACGAGTTTGGCCAACTGGGAATCGAAGGACCCAGCATAAGTTATGAGCCAATGAGAGCACAGGAGCTGGAAAGTCATCACATCTTGTACGTGGCGTGTGGCGCGCACCATAGTGCGGTGTTATCCGGTCAGTCAAGAACTTTTTGTTTGTATTTTCACTCGCCCTACGGGCTCGTCAGAACACAGCACAACTCGTAAAAATACTCAGCGATACTACACAAACGTTTAATAAGATATATTATTTGCTAATAAGATTTTAGAAGTAGTTCAGATGTTCGCTCAAAACGCAGCCCATTCTTTTTGGTTTCTTAATATTTTGATCTTAACGCGAACGCGTTAGCAGAATACAGCATTCGTTTATCTCAATAACTAGTCTACTCCGTGTCATGTTTCCCCTATTTATTGTGGGAGATTCAAAGCCGTCGCGATCAGGAATTTTAAACTCAAATAACGCAAAACGAATATCTTTTCGGGGCTGCAATTTACAGGCGTTTTTTGAGAAACTGGCCTCTAGACTCATTATCCTGACAAATTTTGCTTATCATTTTTGTATGTTTGTGTCTACGAGTTGTAGAAGATTTTAGGTAGGTAACCGAGATGATCACGGTGTAGTCTTTCATACTGGAGAATTTATTTTCGTTTAACGAGATCTTGTTTACAAAAATAGACGTCTTGATAATCATCCTAACCCGCCTTCTCACTTTGAGTATATCGAAATTGTCGAAGAGTGGTGAGGCAAGATTTCGGAAATCGATCCAGCCCTATTGACTGTGCGTATATCAAGAGACCCTTAAAGTGATGAAGTTTTTTGGCTTGCGATATTTTGAGACATTTTAGGCCCGTGAAAACCATCGTTAACTTAATGGAGATTACTAAATATTATTTTGGTAAGACAGAGATACAACAACGATTCCAGAATAACGTAAGAAGGTACCAGAATTTCCAAGGATGGCAGCGATTGAAACGGATTGCAAATGTTAAACTTGGGAACATTTTGGCACAAATTTTTTTTTCAMTTTTTTTTTTTTTTTTTTTCAGACCGGATAACTGTGACTTGTTTCTCTTTCTTTACGTCATATCCTGTTTTAGATACTGGATGTCTGTGGACGTGGGGTGATAACAGATCTGGTCAGCTTGGAGTGGAAAATTTGAGCTTCTCGTGCAATCCAATTTTGTTGTCAACATGGCCAGAATTAAGGTGACTTATAAACGTTGAAAACCTTCGAACTCGTTCGCTTGGTACATTATGGTTCAAAGTGAAGTGCATGTAGAAATTGGTTGTAGTTTGAAAGTATTGATTTATTTTATGAGCGTCGCATGGCCTGAACGTTGAATCTGTGGAAAGTACGGAAGTGAATGGCTTGCATTTGCCTCAGTGAATTGCACTGATTTATTTTACTAATTAAAAAGTTACGGTAAGAAATGTTAACGCATTTCGCACCTTTGTGCGAGTTGTAATCATAAATCGAGACACTAAATACATGAACAAACAGGATGAAAGGATCGTAATTAAGAAAAAAATCCCAAAATCAGCTCGTAAAATCAATTTAAGAGTTTTTGAGCTGAGATTCCCCTAAAACGAATTCTCTGGAGTGGCAGCGTTGGAACTAATGCGAGGTTCAGGTTTATTTTTCCATAAATTCCAGTCTTTTGCTTTTCACAGAAATCAAGTGATCATTGATGTAAGTTGTGGAGACAAGCACACAGTGTTCTTATCAAGTGAGTAAGTCTATTTTACCCACACGCCATAGCTTCTTCTTCGTCCCCCCCCTCCCCTCCCCCGCTCTTGTATGTATAGACTCTTAGGTGAGAAACGTGTTCTTCTCTTTCTACTTTAATGCTTCGCTTCATTCGCTATAAATGTCCTGGAATAGATGGCGACTAGTGCAGCTCATTAGAATGTATTTGTGATTGTATGCTGTTGAATTTAAGAATATGTTGTTTTTGTTTTTTGTTTTTTGTTTTTGTTTTTGTTTTTGTTTTAGAAAAAGGAAAGCTGTTTGGAATGGGTGACAACACCGACAACCAGCTCGGAATAAACCAGAAAAACAAGTCTGGAGAGACAATCTCAAGGGTGAATGTTCCCACCCGCATTCATTTGTCAGCTCACTTCAGAGCTTCCAAACCCATACAACTTTCGTGCGGAGCTTCTCATACAGCCGCTGTTACAGGTCAGTAAGATCACGGGTTTATTACGAATCAACTTAACGGCCTGCTCCCAGTTGGCTTGTTAGCTCAATTGGTAGAGCGCTGCACTAGTATCGCAGAGGTCAGTGGTTCGAGTCCCGTACAGGCCTGATTTTTTTTTTCAGGTCTGATTTTCGCTACTGCATAAATAGCGCTCTCTACTGCGAGGATCGTGCATCATACGTATTATTCTATCAGAACAATTTTTTTCAGTGGAATATCGAAAGTTATCCAGGATTACTTTGGTTTCCGTCCACTTCTCCCTTATTGGTCCGGAAATTCGCGCCATCTTCCAAACCAATCAGGCGCGTAAGCTAATCCGATAACGAAGCGGTCACTGGCGTTTTTCCGCCCTACATGCAGTTTGCTGCTTTTATTTGAAGTCCTCATTGGCTCCTTGTAATTTTTTTCCCTAGTTCTGATTGGCTCTTGAGATTAGCTCGGTTTTGATGTTACAACACTCAATCAAGAAGCCTTCTATCCTTGCTACAGTAGAAAACTTGATTTTATGGGGGGTGGGGAATGGGGGGAATATGGGACGAGGGGGGGGTTTACTGAGCTACGTGTAAGTTTGCATTTAAGCTTTGGCAGTATAATGTGTACAACGGAGACAGATGATCAGGTGTGGTTTTTCTTAATCCTCTTTTATTTTTAGAATCAGGAGAAATATTTACGTGGGGAAAGGGAAAGGCAGGTCGCTTGGGGCACGGTGATACAAGAGACAGGTGCGAACAAAATTATCATTCTCTTCGACTTTTTTTGACATTTTCAAATTTGTGGCAAGGAACTCCGTCTCAATATATTTGACCAGTTTTCTTACGCTTTGGAAACGAACTGCTCGTTTTCAACTTGAAGGAGACTTCAAAAACAAGAGTTGACTAAGATGCAAAAACACAAAGTGGAGATAGTAAAAAAAAAAAAGAGCAAAGATGGCTTAGGATGAAGGAAAGATTGAGACAACAGATTAAGAAAATAAGACAAAAGCAGCCTGAGAAAATCAGCCGTCCTTTCGCTCCCTTCGTTTGCCTTTCTCAAGCTAAGACAAAAGTAAAAAAGGCACAAGCAAAATGTTTCAAGGCCTCTTTCTCTCCGATTTCTGTTGGGCGTCGCCTTGTAAGTGAGAATTTAAAAAAATCGGCAAACTTTGTTTGAAATATTTATTTTCACTCTTTGTTTTCCGGCAGACCAGTCCCTTGTGAGCTGGACATGGATGGCAAGCGAGTCCGTTACGTGGAGTGTGGTAATACACACACAGCATGCCTTGTCACCAGGGCTTGGGTCTCAGAGGATTTGGTGAAGAACTGTATGGCATGCAAGACAAAGTTTTCATTGGTGAACAGGAAGGTACGGTGGCCCTCAGTGGTTCCTTATCCTTACAATATCAATACTTTATCTAACAAGCGGATGTTGAGAATAGGGAAGCCCATCGACCTCAGAGTTTTTTCCTGAAATGTCACCAAACCCTCCAATTAAAAAGATAAAAAAGAAAGAGAGTGTGTGTAGCAGATACAAGAGAGAACAGCCAGTTACGTCAAGGGAGTTATTTGCACCCCTTTCCAAGATTAAAAACGAGTAAAATTAGGCAAGCAAAATAGATTTGGCCAAGACATTTTTGTAAAGTTTCTTCTGTCTGTTTTCTTTTCTTTTTCGTAAATCTACAGCATCACTGCCGCAAGTGTGGAGGCGTTTATTGTGCTTCGTGTACTTCTAAACGAACTCCTGTTCTCCATCTACCTGGATATCGCATCCCTCGACGAGTTTGTGACAGATGTTACACAGTTCTTCTAGACGACGAGACGTGAGGTTCTCCTAAAAATTGCAGCCTTCAAGTAAGGCAAATAAGCACGAAAGTTTGTCTTCGAGATTGAAGTGAGTCCGCAGTCACTTGTCGTCATTGACGCTTTTATGAACACATGATGTACCTGATTGATTAGCAACGGATATGTCTGGACAAGAGCCAGGAAAACTGGGTCGAGTACATGAAGTTGAGGCTCAGTAGTGATCTTTCTTCATAGAAAAGGAAGATAAGCAATTTTTTTATTCTCGTGAGTTGAAAATCTTTCTTTGGTATTTCTTTTCTTTAAACCAGTTCCTTTGCGTGACAGGACTCCGTCAAAACTGTATTTTAAACAGAGTACTTTGTTTTACAATATTTTGCCTGTGAAGTTTGCCTGTGAAGTTTGCCTGTGAAGTTTGCCTGTGAAGTTTCCCTGTGCGCCTCTACTTCATGTGCTAGAAATAATTTCCGTGGCTTGCGTCATAGGCAACCCGAACATCAAATGGGTGAAGCAGATTTAGGAACAAATTAAAAAATCAACGAAAATATCGAAAAAAGATCGGATTAGGCTGTTTTCAATGTAAATGTGTAAGTGTACACGGTTTTCAATAACCACATTTATCATTTAAAATTCCGTCAAACTCTACTATGTTCAAACCAAGGAAATCACTACTGGCTTCATGGTATTTTTTTCAGTGACGGAGATGTTCAGCAGTCGACATTTCACCAAAAACATCGCATTTGGCAAGAATTATAGTTTGTTTGATTTTATCATTATTATTGTCATTTTTTATTAGTATTACTAACCAAAGTAAAATGCTACTGAAGGACAACTTTCAACGACTGATATTATCATTTGAATTCGTCGAACAAACTTTTTTCCTGCTTCTTTCATTACCAAATATCGCTCTCTAATCTTGAATCAAGTTATAAGCGCATACTTTTATCGTATTAGAAGTAAACACTGAAAACTGGGCAATATCTCTTGGGGAATATCACGGATATTTGGGGCATATCCGGTCCAATGAATATTTTAGACCAATCGGGTGCGAGCAAAAATCTTTGATGGATTATAGTTAACAACTTTTCACCAAGGTGCAGGTGGATATATACCTAGCTCCGAAGCGGCTTGGTAAATATCCACTGCTAGCTACAAACACTGAGGTGAAAAGTTGTTTTAGTATATACTAAAACAGTGAGATAATATACCACAACAACAATTATTCCGGCAACGATTACAAATCCCGCGCGAATTGCTCGAGGGTAAACAGCAAAGGATATCCGGAGTTTGAGTACCCAATCAGAGCACGCCTTCAACACTACCTACTGTTTTAGTAGATATTAATACTAGATATTCCTCACTGTTAGCTGGGATCTATTCCATCATGTGACGTGTTTATACTATGCGCGGAAATGAAAATAGTTGATGGATTTTAAAGTGTTTTCAAAATAGGTGCGTGGTAAATCATATCCGTCAAGACGCCGACTGAAGTATTACCTTTGGTGTTAAAAGGTAACCATGGGAATAGCTTTTACAAATTCAATTAGAATGTAATCTAATAGGAATATTTCTAAATTGTTCCTTTGTAAATCAATATTTTCAATAAAATTATTAGATTTGTTTATCACAGGATGTTTAACTAAAACATAAGGGCTCCTTACTGTAAGAGATGCAGGACACAATACAACAAACCTTCACTAACCGGTTGTTTTCTTTGTTGTCATTTTCCTCATGCGTTTTTGTTTTCTTTTGTTTCATGGCAACGGCGTCTTATACACCAAGTAAGAGACAACATAAGGGTACAATGTAGTATTGGGGCGCTTTAGAGCTAGAGTTGGTATGTGCATAAACACCCATTGATTAGAAATCTCGGGAAGTTCATTTGGTTTTGGGTGCTCTATTGTAAAAAATAATCGTTTATCAATAAGGGCACTGGATTAAATAAAAAACAGTATTTTTTATTTACTCCACTGATGCTTAGTCGCCCTTGTTTGATGGCTGAATGAAAAAGTTCTCACTTGTGGGCTCCAAAATACGTAGCATTTTGAGAAAAACCGGCTACCACTGTCATCAAGACCGAAAAAACAGGCTTATAACTGGTTCCAATCCGAAATTTCCAGTGAGTAAATATCAAATACCCCGCGAGTAACAATCCAAACTGGGGTGAAAGTATGAAACCAATAGGAAAGATGAAACAGCGAAATCGCCTTTCAGGAAAGTCTGAATAGTGAACTTCAAAAAAAGAAAAAAAAGAACGAGGCAAAAGCGTGACTCTTTGTATCAGATTTATTTATAACTATTAATATTACAAATTAAGATAAAAGTGGACCAAATATCGAAAAAAATAACAAAATGAAAAATAGGCAACTCAATGAATTCGTGACTTTCAATAATGATATCATGAACATTTGAAAACAGAAAATTGAGGCGATTACGTTACTCTCTTCTCAGGTTAAGTTGTACGGTGACGTGTTGCTTAGTAAGTGTCAGTCTCCATGTCTGTGCGTTCGGTTACTCATCACCGCTGATATGGATTCATTGTTAAAAAAAAGTGACGCATGCAGCCAGAGAACCACCCAACATAACCCACAGCGTTTGAATCGCTCTTGATACAGGTGACGGAAAAAAGAAAAGAAAATTAAAAAAACAAAACAAAACAATACAAAGCAAAACAAAGCGAAATAAAAAAGAAAAAAAACAGGAATAAAAAAGTAAAGTAAACGAAAAAGAAACCAGAAAAAGGGGGGGGG